GCAGCAGCTGCTTCTTCCCATCCTGAGCTCCTCTCTTTTGGTGGCACCAGTGGCACCTTGGATTTGTGCATTAAGTTGTAAGCAGGTGAAATAGGAAGCATTTACTTTTTTTTTTCAGGCAGTATTTACAGCTTGCATAGCCAGTCCCCATCTCCTCTAGGGAAAAACATCAAGATGTCAGTTCAGTTACGTTTCAAACCTACAGATCAGCAGCTAACACTAGTCTGACGTAATACATACTTCTTTTTGAACTTAGCTGTGCATACAGAAAAACGTTTCACATTTGCACATCATGCAGCAGAGAGACCATTCCACTGTGCCAGTTGATAAAAATGATTCAACAGCTGAAACACATCCTTGGATCAAATCCCAACTACACAACTGCTACTCAGACTCAAATCAAACCCACACAATGCAACGAGTTTTACAGCAGTAACGTTTACCCCTGTATTATTCACTTCAAGCTCTAAATATAGACTGTTTTTCTCTCAGAGATACAATTAAAGGAAAACAGAAGAGGCCTCACAACTAATCAACAGAACAATAAATACAGCAATTTGATTATACTTTTTCAGACTTACAGAGGAGTGTGAATCATTTGTCTGTCCAGTACCGACCTTTGTTGACGGCATGACACAAGCAGTTTCAGCAGCTAGAAACAAAAAATTACATTTAAAAAGCTTAAGTGATACAGAAAATTTAACACAAAGTGCACAGTATGAAAGCTGACCTCAACATCCGTTCACAACTACTTGTTGCAAAAGTACATCTCAGACTTCTTTTGCATGCAGTTCTATTTATAACATGAACAACTAATTTTGGCTTGTGTCATGTTCACAGAACAATTATAAGAGGCTGGCATTGCAGGCTGCTACAGATAATACAAACAGAAGGCAGACAGGACTCAGAAAATCCTAAGAAGTGACAAAATTATGAAATTGATATGCAATATTTGTGAACAAATAATCTAAATACCAGATTGAGGCACACACTGATGACATTGTATGAATGTTCTTTGCATGAAATCTTATTTTGAATGCACTGTTTCTGATATCAATACAGTACTAATTCTGAAAATGAGCAGTTAATCTTCAAACAATTCTAACAAATGGGAAAAGAACTCTTATTAAATTTAAAATGGAATCTTAGAAAGATAAATCAAAGCACATAAGCACAAGAACAACACAAGGATATATTAGTACTCTATACTTGTGTTTCTGGGTTTTGCTTTTAAAATACAATACTGTTTGGCACACAGCATCAATAAGAGAATACAGTTACTTAGTTAACACTCAACAGCAAGCACAGCCTGTTGATATTAACGAAAAACAAGCTTGAAACATATCGGTAGTCTTCAGTTTCTGCGCTGCTGCTGCTTATTTTGGCTATTTCAAGCAGACTCTGAAGAGGTCACCATGTTTGACTAGCAGTGAGCTAGCCACATGCACTGCCCAGATTTGTTACAGAGGTCAGCTCTTTAAAATCAAAGTCATCTAAGGTCACTAACTGTAGTCTTTTGCTGACTAAATAAAAAAACAATCACTGAATGAAAGCCAACGCACTATGGGCACCAAAACTGGCTGACATCACTATCTGGAAAATGGTCTTCTGCGAAAATGAAGATTTAAAGGACTTTCCACCTACATGAAACAAAGTACTAACACACGTATGAGAGGAATATCCTGATTTTAAAAGATGTTTAAGTCAAAGCAGGGATCCATCCAGGCTTCCCAAGGCCCACAATGCCCAAAGCCCTATCTCAATCTCAGGCACTAGTCAAGATGGGAATCCCACCACACTAGAGGAACTCTGATGGCCTTAGATATATATGGCTCAAAATACAGTATGTGAAACACATTTCAAACCTTCAGATTTTGAATTGAATGTTGTTAGTGAAGTTTCATCTTTAACAACTGCCCCATTTGTACTTGATGACTCAGTTTTAACAGCCTGCTGGGTTACCATAGTTTGTGTGCTGGAGACAGTACTGGATACAGAAGCGTCAGGATTTACAGTTCGTTTGTCCAAGTCATGTAATTCACCTACATTTGCTGTAGTCTGAGGACCTTAAAAAAAGAAAATAACAACCAGAATTCAATATCGGTAACACCTAAAAAAACTCAGCTTGATCTAATGACTTTAGTATCACAGAAAAACAAGAGTTTGGCTCAAGGTTTCTGCTAGAATAGGTATGTTTATATTAATTGCTAATGCTTCCTTTAGCTGTATTACTTAACAAGCATCTGCCTGCACAGTCATAAAAGATGTATGTAAACAGTTACATTAAAACATCCATTTAACTTGTTTGAAGCTTGCTATTCTGTATCTATTTGTTCACAAAAGGATTAATTTGGGAAAAAAAAATATATAAAGTATAATATAA